CTTATGGACCTTATGTAGTAAGCAAGCTATAATAAAAAAAACCTAAATAAATAAATAAATATTCAACAGCACAAATTGGTTTGGGAAAACAATAGACAAATTATAAATTCAAACAACCAAAAACAGATAAATGCACTAAAATCAGTTACCGAAATTTTAAAATTAAAAAAATCAGAGCAAATAGATTCTGCACACTTATATGAGACCCTTTTAGCGAGAAATAGAATACTAACCTTGGAAATTGAAAACCTTATAATTGCAATCACTCTGGCTGTCACTTACGTAATAAACCAAGTAATTATCAATGACAGTGACTTAAAGGTAATTTTAAGCAAAGATTTCACAGAAGTTAGCGTAACTCAAATTTTAAATGTCTCTAGCCTTAATGTCTGCAAACGATCAAGAAATTCACTTTACGATTAAATTCTCTAAACCTAAGCTAATATGTAAGAAGGTCATAATTTTCCCCGTCGCTCATGATGGAATATTATTTCAAATCATTGGCCAAGCAAGAAATAAGGCCTCCAGTCTCAACTAATAATAGTCGGGTACAGAGCCCAAAGCCTTGCATTAGTCAAGCTCAGAACCCATGATCAAGCACACAATTAAGTAATCAGTGACGCAAGCCAAGTGAAAGATTTAATCCAAAAAGCTCTTGGCCAAGCTTTGACCCAGCAAGAAGATAGGTTCCAGTATCAACCAAACGTCATGACAATTAAAATAGATAACTTGTGTATTAAAACTGCGCAAGTAGAACGTTTTTTCAGCCAGAAATAAATTGCGACATACCTCTCGATATTATAAAATCTGTCCCTGAATTTTGTGGGGGCTCCGACGAATCCGACATGGAGGCAATCAGCCTGCGATGCTTGAGCTGTTTAAGCCTTTTAATGGTAGCTATGCTTACTATGTGACGATAATTAGAAATAAGGTCAGAGGGGCGGCAAGAGCAGTTTTAGTGTCGCACAATACACTGCTTAATTTTGACACTATAATATCTAGATTAGATTGCTCCCATCCCACACTCCTGATGTAAGAATAAATGGCATTACTCCGCCACGGTGCCGTAAAATACCTTTGTATCGCTCACAACTATATTGCTGAACCACAAGGCCAGAACCAGTAAGGCGACAAAGTCAAGTCCTCAACCGTAATATTCATAAGACGTATACCATCGCTGGACCAGTCGCATCGTTGGACCACTTGAATCCCGTTTACAATTATTAGATCCACATATATAAATATTACAACTTCAATTAATAACTCAGTAGTTGGCTTATAAAAATATGTAAACAATTCTGTGAATAATTTAGTAACATTAAAAATATGTTGCTTAATATAAAATCCGCTCTTTTTTTAACGGCAATAGAATACAGACTTGTTATTGCTCAATAGCATCGCTATTACCAAAATTAACCAGACAAATCACAGTCAAATTACACGAAGCGACTGACCCATAGCATGATACAGTTGCATTGTATCGTTTATCGTTTATCGTTAGAACACAAGGGCGGCAGTATCTCAGGTTCGCCTTCGCCTGTGAACATCTAACTTTTGTTCCTGATTAATAAAAAGATGATTGGCAAATGCTTTCGCTTAAGTTAGACTGCTTTAATTAATCATTACCTCTTGATCTGCTAAGCCAATGAGAGCAGAACAGCAAAGGCCTTATTTCATTATCACATGCATATAGTATTTAGGTATTTTAAGCCTGCTTTAATCACTCTAACTGGTTTAAAGTAATTGTCTCGGCCCACAATAACACTCCGTGACGAGCATTTAAACAGATTTTAAATATTAGGAATATGTAATAAAGTAGACGTACTCAATAAAATATATGAACTCCGCTGGTAATATTATTTCTAAAGGCTGCCAGCATTTACTAATTTAATTATACAATCATATAATTTCATTATTCTTTACCATTTAACATAAATAAATTATGCCGGCAAGGCAACACACTCCACAATCATATAGTATATTCAATTTTTTTCTCAAATGACTGCTTGCGCGGCACCACTCCACTATATGATTTTTTGACTCACATTGTTTCCATAAACTACCACCAACACACCTTTTATGGCCTTTTATTAACTTAATAATTGATCATTATTCTTTACTATTCGATCAAAATAATTTTTGTTATCTGTTAATTGTTTTATTTATTTGCGAGTTTAACTTTAACAAATATTTTCATTTGATGTGGAAAAAGCTAAGTATCTTGTGTATATAAAGGCGACAAATATGTTTATATGTAGTTACAAATTGTTTTCTGCGGTATTTTATATGTTATAAGTTATAAGTATATGTCATACATATAATTGAATATTAAGTATCCTTATTGTATTTTGATATATATTTATTGCTCATTTATATGAGTTCGCTCCACCGACTTCAATCCAGTACTTACATATATTTTGAGTTATTTTTATCAGTATTAAGTTTTCATATATAAATTCAGAATTAGTTATCTTATTGCAAACTGACTTATATTATTATTTTTATTCTCCGTCAATTCTATCTGATATAATTGAAACCTTTGTTCTAAACTGTTTTCTGCATCATTATATTAGTTCCCTCTACCGACTTCAATTACTCATATATTTTGAGTTCTCTTTATCAGCTTTAAGTTCTTCTTACTATAGTTCAGGAATGATGCCCGGATAAGACATGCCTTGATCCCAGTCATATCTGCGCTTTTTAATATTTTCAATAGTTTGCATCGAGTATTTAAAGAAAACACATAAAAACCGACATTACGACACTAAGATTCGAGCCCACATTGTCTACTCAACGCGCTTCAACTCTGCCTACACCACTTCATAATTTAAAAAAAAAAAAACATAAAAACAGAAAAACCCTCCCGTAAGTGCTTGGCATTGAAGCCAGAACGCCTCGGCAACGAGCACCGCCTCTGCCAACACATACGGACAGATGGACGGACAGACAGACGAACAAGGCACAATCAACTCGGCCTGTCGTTATGATCAAGAACATATATATTTGATGGGCTCTGCCATGCCTCCTTCTGCCTGTTACATACATTTTAACAAATCCATTTTTAATGGGATCTGGGTATAAAAATATCAATGGCATTGACATAGAAAATGCATAACATTACATTACATTAAATACAATACCTAGCTCAATTATCCATTGCCTTACGTGTGTATCGTCATCCTCAAAGACCAATGTTGAAGCCGGAGAACGGCAATAATCTTCAAATGGGAGCAGCTAACAAGTAATTATGAACTACTTGTTACTATTCAAATCAGTACTATCGTTACAACCGATACAGGTCCATTACTATCATTACAAATCAGATATAAAGGCTTTCTTTACCTATGCTGAGTGAGCATCAGGCTCTACCTGTAGCTTGTCATTATGCTGATTTATGTCTAAGGCAACCACTTGTAGTTTATGTTTTAAGTTTATACTTTCTCTGGCACACACAGTTAAATATTCCGAGTATTCGTATACTGCTGAGCTACAAGCCAGCGACTGAAAACATAACTTCTCAGATTAACAGATCTTCGGTAAAGGCACAGTGCCTACCAGGAAGATAGCCAGCAGCGCCCCGGGATTGAAGAGGGAAGACCTACATTTCGTCACGGAGCCGGTAAAAATTAATAATTTACATGGTGTGTCTATGCATTGAATTTTGTCTGATAGCTCCTACTAAATATAAGATAGAAAATATGTATTCAACAGTCTGGAGAGTTGAGTTACCACCCCTGGCTTAGCCCTCATTTGAACATTATTGCAGAATGATATGTTATTTTATTTACTGTTGGCGACGGCTCTCTTCTGTACACTATGTTCCCTTTTTCGCTGTTATATTATTGGCATAGCTATTGCTGATGTAATGCTGGCTGAGGCGGCGGTGGTAATGGCGGCTCCTTATATTACATTCTATTTGATTCATTAATGCTCGTGGCTAGTATTTTTACTGCTTGCAGCTGTTGCTGTTTGATCACATTATTAGCGCGGTTCGGTGGGTGTGTGTATTTCCGTTAATGCTATTAGTATTTATCGCATTAAGTGAGTGTTACTAAATTATCCTATATATACTTTTTTGCCATTCTTTTCTGAGAAATATGAACTATCACGTCATAACAGAAGAGTACAAGGTTTTGACCATCCCCTATAGCTCTGTTACTTATGATACTCTATACTCTATGCTGTGTAATGCAGCCACTCACCTCAACCTTACCTAACCTATTCAAAGAGCTATTGAGCCAAGAAACTCGCAAAGGTCAAATTTTAATACTTATTTTTAATACCAAACCTTTCGACAAATGATATCAAAAAACTTGCTCCCATAAAACCTAATAACAATTTCACTATAGCTCACATGATTTTACCTTCTGAACATCGTTTCACCACTATTCATTCGATATATACATATAGTTGAATTTTTATTATGATGTAAAAACGATTTTCATATTACAATGGATCGATTTTCGCTTGCCGTTATATTCGAGAGCGGGTACAATGTATTGGTTAAAGTCGGAGTTAATCGAAAGTCGTCACTACATGTATGTATAATTTCACCACCTTATTACAGGTTACATCGGCGAACGCCTTTTCTAAACTTGTTGTGTATAAGAGAGAGTTATTAGTTTAATTGTAATTATCGTACTTTGATGGCTTTTCATAAATACGTTTAATATATAAAACAAGTAAATTTGTTATTTTTTAAAATATGTTGATCTGCATGTACTAAAGTATAATTCTGTAAATCTTTGGTAAACAGAATATCAAGCATAGTAATTAATTACACATTCGGTTCATTTTCCTCTTAAAAGAAATTTCGAATTCATTTGTTTCTCACCTGGAACATTAACTTTTAAATATACCTGTATATTTAAGTTAAGCTAAATCAAAATCATCGCTTGTGCCGTTGAAGCTAATTACCTCGATAGGTGCTATCGATATAACAGCCAAAAAACATCGTATTGTAACAACAAATAAAATATCGCATAAAAAAGGTATACATCGATATACAAAAATATGATAAATATTAGACAGCTCTGGGTGTGTTTTATATCATCATTAAAACTAAAACAAAAAGTCCTGATTAACTGAAGTCGGTCTTGTTCTTCAAGGGCTAGCAGGCGGTTACGCTACGAAAAGAAGGAAGTGTAAGAGACTTGTATAAAAATATTGTGCGCTGCACTCCGCGACAAATATCGTCGAGTTACCCTGCTAGTATTTAAGGTGTGTGCAATTTTTTGTCATCTTTTTGTGGAGTGCAATTTGTAGTAAAATGGGAAAGCTAAAGAGAAAAAGTGACGTAAAAATCAATAAATAGAGCTTCGACCAAGTAAGGTAGGCAGTGGCAACACAAAAAATTAAACTAAATCAAGTACAACCATACATAAATATAAATATATACATACGTGAACATGTACATTTCTACTCATGCATATGTATGTATGTATGTCTGTCTGTATGTTTGTACTAGTGGGAAAAGCATCAATAAAAGCATTTACATTTATATATATATATATATATATATATATATATATATTTATATATATATATATATATATATATATATATATATATATATATATATATATATATATATATATATATATATATATATATATATATACATATATATTAGTTCTTTCCATACTGCATAAGATGCATCGTACAAAGGTTGTATTAGTGTGCGAATGAATAGTTATGCAAGGTGATGCTGTTCTGAATAAAGTATTTTTGGATATGTTTATCTATAAGTCATGGCAAGTCGATTAGAGAAATATGCATAAATATGCACCATTCAAAAGCTGGATCATCTGAAGTTAGTAAATGAACTTAGAGAGATTATCAGAGGTAGTTTTATCAGTAATCGGATTAGAAAATAGGACCCAAACATAGATATGTATGTATGTGCACATGTCTATCGACCTGCTTGCAGCTACGTACTCTTCTTTTAGTGAAGACTTCCGTATAATGGAGCTGAGCTGTGCCACTGTACCTCTCCCCACGTTAGCTTTTGAGCGGCAATGCTGCTGGCTGGTCTCTTTTTCGTGCGCTACCCTCAGAGTTTTCTCTGTGCTCTTTGCGCGTTGAATTTACTTATGAATGTATATGTGTGAGTGCATACACATGTATACAATACGCTAATGCAGGTGTATGTGATGCATCCAAATACTAAAGAAATCTAAAACTCTGTTATTTAGCGATAGGTTTTAATGCAAACCCAAATATACATATTAAACGAATCACACATCAAATCTATCATTCATAAAAAAATCATGCACCATTTAAAAACAAAAAATATATAAATAGCCTACATAGAGAAATGCATTGTGAGTTTGCCTTATTAAAGATACACCTATAAACATATTTAATTTTCAACTTTTTAATACTTTGTACTTAATTTTAGTGTCACTTTTCTTAAATTTACAATGAGTATAATTTCGTTCATTAGACTTAAAATCGTGAGTGCACTAAGCACGCACGGGCGTACCTAAAGAGAAGTATTCAATTATATTCTCGTCCTAGAAATAAATACATACTTATATATGGAAAGCAAAGGCAACGGCTATAGAGCGGCCCGTTTGCCCCTCTGAAATAGCAGTCTACAACCAACATAAAACACAAAAGGTATAACAAAAAGACAACAAAAAAAAAAAAAACAAAGTTGCAAATAAAGTACGAGAATTGGAAATAATCATGCTAAACAGCGCCAATAACAATTTTGTGCAGCATGTAAGTAGACACAAAAAGTCTTATTTATTTTATACGTTTCTACTATGCTTATGCTATTTATTGTTCTTAATTCACAAAACAACTATTATTTTTATTATTATTGTAACGAAAATTGGGAACTTGATTTTAGCATAAACGTAGTACTTATGTCGACTATGTATTTGTAATATTTTTGGAATGCGATGTTGCTTGTAGATTGATTGTAAATTAGCGCAATTTGAAACAATGATTTTCATTCATATTTGATTTAAATTACTCTCTAGCCAACTAGATTATTGAACATTGGTTTCCAAAACGGTAAAGATATCTGCGTAGTCTCTTACATATGTCTATATAGGCTAAGACTGCTAAAGAAACCACAAAATGCTCTCTCACATTTAATGGTTGTCCGGCCTCTATGGCACTTCACTGGGAAACATTAGAAAAGCGGTATTGATTTAGGCATCATGCCCAACTGTAAATGGTTGACTATATAGGGCAGTACCCCCACTATCGCCACTAGCCCCAATAGAAGCAAGCAAATACCTTTTTTAGACAGGTAAACAAACGATGTTGATGTTGCACAAATGAAACAATGATTTGTCGATTCATTATAAAATATGATTTTTGAAATTTCAGCAATTACCTATGATATTAACGACGCATATAAAAAATCGATATGCATATAACGATTATTATTTTTGCCTGCAAATCACTTTAAGCTATTCAGTTGTTATTTTCATGAATACATTTTTTGCTTTAAATAAGTTTTAGATATCCTGAAGTTTGATGTTGAAATAAATCTGCATGAGCCTTGATAGTTTAAAGAAATACCTCTTTGTTAACTATTCGAATATTTTGGTTGCTCGGAACGCTTTGCCTATGTCAACCTAGTGACATGTATGTATATTATCCAGTAGCTTTATATCTATGTAGCATTCACGTTCAGTATGAGACCCTTTAACTGATTTAATGTTTCTTTTGTCAACGGTGGTATGTGCTTTCCTTACATAACTGACCGCGCCTGCAGGTCGATTGTGGTGCAAGGCTTTCGAGTTTGTCTCTATATTCGGCGAGGCGCAGTCATGTAGCGCATGCTTAACAATATGTGAAATCGCATTTACAGAAATCGCGAACGACAGGTGCTGCCGCCATGCATTTGTTGTCTAATTTAACATGAACTTATTGTTAAAACATTTAGACGGGCAGACGGCTGTCGTCTGGGTGACACTCGATGTACAGGTGCATCGATGTGCAGTTGAGAAGCACCGCAGCGTAACGTAAAATTTAATGCGAATTCTCTTTACGTTGCATTCACTACGCGCAGCCCTTTACTATTTGAGGCCTTCAACTGCTCTATCCTCATATGCATACACACGCACACACACACACACACTCACATATATATATATATATATATATATATATATATATATATATATATATGTGTGTGTGTGTGTGTGTACATTTCTGTGAATTTAGACTACTCTGATACATTTGAATATAAAATAATCTGTTCACTTCTGATGTACATATTAAAAATGGAATCCAAAATGCAAAGTTTAGAATACTTCGCATGCAGATACTTCTCGAGGCCATCTATCTATCTAACGTAGCGTATGCAGACTCTGCAGACTACAAATTTATATGTATATTCGTTGGCACTTTTAATGCTTTATCAGCCACAAAGAATCAGCCTTACGAAAGGGCTTGGCTAAAGTGCAAGTGCAGCTGAGAGCAGTTCGCTTTAAATGAGTAAATTTGTATATAAATACTTCTCATAAAGTTTGCTTGTCTTTCAGTGGATTCTGTGCAATTTTATTTAATTGTGGCCAGTTGAATTCTTGCACTCAAGCGCATTACACGCGTTTCCTTACCTCGTTGTTATTTCTCTTGCTCTTGCTTAGAACGCAATTGCCTTTCACGCTGCTGGGAGATTGTGAAATGTATCCTGTATGTTGTAATCCCAGGCGTATGTGCTACAAGTCACATTATCGTGCAATGCATCTCGCGAGGTCTGCGGTTTTTTATCAACGGCAGAGGCAGCTGTACTCAGCAGAGTCCTGGCGTTTCTCTAAAAAACATAGAATCTTCCTAAGGCGAACTATCGTGCTACCCCCCGTACGCTCCCATTACCAAGTGAGATTACAGTTTTACAAAATTCCATTTAATTTTAATTTTTAATGTATAATATATATAATATATACATATATAAATAACCGTGAAGCTAACAGAAGCGAAGTCCCCTTCTCGTATTTATATTTTGAGGACACTATGTATGTCATATTATATATTTAATATTTAAAGTATTCAAGAAATATTTAAAGTAGGCAGGAAAGAATATATATATTTATGGTTTGTTCTTTAATTCCAATGGGAAATACGGCGAGGGAACTCTACAGTTGGGCCCACGAGTATTCCCGACTATAGCACTTATTTAATGGTTGTATGTGTGTGTGTAGAAAATTAACTGAAAGGATGAAAGTCTGTATATGACTATCTCTAAATGTCAATGTTGTATTGTAATGCTTGATGTTTTTTACATTAATACTTGTCTGCAAAATTATGTTCGTGAAAATGAAAGTCCTAATACGTTTCTCTTTTTAACTCCGTATCTATAAAGGCACAGGTGGTATCTACATCAACGGAGGGAAATATGAACGGTTACAATCGAAAGTCTCCCCAGAAACGGCGTTATGATATGCCAAAATATGCCGGTAAGTTCAAAAGTATACTTTCGTTTCTGGAGAAAGGGAATAAATTGCTTTTTACATTTTACATATTTGTTTCTCTTTGAATTATTTTGTAATGCTCGATATATATATATCTGTTTTTAGTGCCACCAAAAAAGAAATCTGGCAAGGAACGTGTACCACAGCCGAAGAATACAGTAGCAATGCTTAATGAATTGCGGCATGGACTGATATACAAATTAGAGTCACAGACTGGTCCGGTGCATGCGCCGTTATTTACGATCTCCGTTGAGGTTAGTGCACGCTGTCAACGATCTAATTGCCCACATGAGTTAGTTATGTGTTCCTATACTGAAGTGTATTTGTTTTGAGTAACCACACCGCAATGAGAATACTAAAGATTAGCTCTCTGTAGAACATGTATCTTGTATGGATGTATCTGCTTATACGGATATAACACGACATCCCTTTAAAGATTAGATTAGATTAAGGATGTACGACAAATTCCTAGATGTTAGGTCTCTTTAGAGAGAGAAGATAAAACACAAGTTCCTTTCAATGATTATCTCTTCGTAAAGAAAGAGGAGAAATGAATAGAAGGTATAATGTAGGGCTTGTATGAATGGATATGGATATGCTACTAAGGATATAACATGAGCGTAAAACACATAGTTTTATAATATATATATATATATAAATAGTCTTATAAGCAGAGACCATTTAGTCGGGGGTATGCATAGAAAAATGCTTATATTTGAAAGCAATCAATTATCGTGTTTAATTTTTGTAATATATCTCCTTATATGGATATAACCAAGTGCATTCCCTGAACACTCCAAGCAGAGTGGCTTTTGTAAGTTACAGAGAGCGTTGCATACATTTGCGAATTGTGGATTTATGAAAACTTATTGCAATTGAAGGCCAAATACATAATTATGATTTAACCTTGTTCAATAAAATAGTATATTGTTATTTCTTGTTGCCAACTGTACTCAAGGGGTTTTCTGAATATTGTACATTTAACGGCGAGGTTAATGTCAAATGTCTGTCATCAAAGGCTAAAACGGAAAAGCATAAAAAGCGCGCGAGCGAGTGCTCATTGCGCAAAATGTTTCCTGCCAATATGGAGAGCAAAAGCGAGTAAGGTAAAATAACGTGATAGGAAAATATTAACCCGATAATCGACTTGTGGAATTCCAATCCAATAGACAAGGCATATTATATTAAGCCAAATGAGGGTATAATAAATGTGTACGGAATACATATGAATGTGCCCTAGTTGGGTTCATGTGCTAGAAGAAATACCGAAAGCTGACTAAGAATTTCAACGCTTTTTATTGGGCACTCCAAGCATTGTTTACATGAATGCATTTCTTTGCTGACCTTTTTCCCTTGGGTAATGCATTCATTGCTTGCATTTTTGTCAATTTAATTTATAGACGTGAAAGTAAATAGATTTTCACCTTTGCTTCATTACAGGTTGATGGGCAGAAATACTTGGGACAAGGCCGCAGTAAAAAGGTAGCGCGTATCGAGGCAGCAGCCACAGCACTGCGCAGTTTTATACAGTTTAAAGACGGCGCAGTCTTGTCTCCCTTGAAGCCAGCAGGCAATTTGGACTTTACAAGTGACGAACATCTTGAAAATGGTATTGAAAACGTGTCCAAAGCAGAATTAGTCGAACTGATTTACACGTTGATGTTGCCTGAAAAGAAATCCAACCTTACCTCGCTTGAACAACCCACGTTGCGTCCACAAATATTTTGCATGAGCCACAGCAAGTACTAGTATTTTATTTGTTTTTATTTTTTTCTTAATTTTTTTGCGTAAATTTATTTATTTTGTAATTAAAACATATTTTGTAGTCGTCGATTTCTAATTGCGGTCTAATGCTCAGTGGCTTTTATTACATGTTTATATATATGTGTTTGCGTTATTTCAATATTGGAGAGATTATTGAAGACCGTGATTCGATAGCTTTTAAGGACCGTCTACGTCTTTATTTATGCTTTTGTTTCTGTGATCTCGTTGAACGTCTCACGCATGATCTTTTCTGTTGATTGCTGAAAGGCAAATGCAGTGTAATGTTTAAAAATGAAATACAATCTGAATACACTTCGTGTTCCTTATTGATTTAAGCTTGAAAACTACTTAATATTAATGATAGACAGAAAGAATTTTCATAAATTTTACAACTATCTTTACTTTATATGATAATCTTGAAAACCAAAATAAAAACCAATATTTCTTGAAATATAGAAAATACTGAAGAATTTTATTATTTTATCACAATGAATTGATGACTTTTTGTTTTTGATTAAAAGCCAATACAATTGTTATCTTCGTCCATTGGAACACTCATAAACATAAACATGTCTTACTTTAAGTACAAGTATCTAGTTTAGCTATTCAGAGTCATTAGTGCTTTTTCAATACAAAGGTAACTTCTGTTTCCAATCATTAGATGCCACAAAAAGTACGATTGCTGTAGATGGCCAGAAGAAAGTTCCAGATAAAGGCCCAGTTATGTTGTTGTACGAACTATTTAACGATGTTAATTTTGAGTGCATGAACATTGATGGCGCTCAAAACAACTGCCGCTTCAAGATGACGGTTACCATCAACGACAAAAAGTTCGATGGCACAGGTGAGTATTCAATTAGCAACTTTTGCTGTTAGTGGGATACAAACTAAGGCTACATAGGTCCCTCCAAGAAATTGGCTAAAAACGCAGCCGCTAAGGCCGCGCTCGCCTCCCTGTGCAATATATCCTACAGCCCGATGATGGCGCCGCAGAAAAACGCGCCATTGCCCATAGACGACAAGACGTCGTCGATGGAATTACCGCAAATACATGCGGATACCATCGGACGTTTAGTGCTGGAGAAATTCATGGAAGTAATTAAAGGTCAGGAGGCGTACTCGCGACGAAAAGTTCTCGCAGGCATAGTTATGACGGAAAACATGAATTTCTGCGAAGCCAAAGTGAGTATGAGTATAACATTTGTAAAAACTAACTATGACTACATGTATGTATTTGTGTGTGTGTGTGCGTGTGTGTGCGTGTGTGCGTATGTGCGTATGTGCGTATGTGCGTGTGTGTGCGTGTGTGTGCGTGTATGCGTGTGTGTGTGTGCGTGCGTGTGTGTGCCTGTGTGTGTGCGTGCGTGCGTGCGTGTGTTCGTGTATGCGTGTATGTGCGTGGGCGCGTGCGTGTACATCTGCGTGTGCGTGTGTTAACAGGTAATCTCAGTTTCCACCGGAACAAAATGTGTCAGCGGCGAGCACATGAGCGTAAATGGCGCGGTCCTTAATGACTCGCATGCTGAGATCGTGTCCAGGCGTTGTCTTCTGAAATACCTGTATGCTCAGCTTGATCTCCAGTGTAATCAGGGTATGATTTTATAATTCGCACTTTCAACTTCGTTCTAAGCTCTATATACTACTAGTTCATAAAGTTTGTAAATAACGATTTGTACAGGTAGTTAACTTTTTCATAAAGCATGCACTTAAGTAGTTGTGTTGTTCTTTAAATATTACTCTTTGAAATAACTAAATTACCGGGAAGCACCCTGGCCGTGTGTAATAAATAATAAACTATGTATCCGATATTGGATACATACGCGACATATCATATGTAAATAATCAATGTGTGATTTCCCGTGACTTAAATTATATATAAATGAAGCGACTATTATAGAGATCGTCAGGTGATTATACGAATTAACGAATAATTCAGTTCCCTTTTCCTAACTTTTACAATATGATGATATTCAATATAATTATTGATATTTAATATATACATATCATTTAATTAATTTTTAATTTCCAATGTTGTTCATTTAGCAAATAAATGATAATTAAAAATTAAATTAAACATTCAACAATTATCATATATTTTAAACAAACTTACATCATTGCATACATCACTTGTTTATATATAAATATAAATAATATTTTATGCATCTTTTAGCAGTAAAATTGATAAGATAAGTAAATGTAAAAATATGCTAAGCGAGTAAGTCCATTGACAGATTTTGTATATTGTATTATTTTTATGTGTAGTAGTAGCCAAACAAATAAAAGTAAAGTTAAGTTAAGGCAGCAACACGATTTATCTTAGAATCATAAATGACTCGGCTTTTAACTGTTTAAATTTAGTTTATATAGTTCTAGTGTATGCGTCACATATAGAAACGAATTTTTATTACATATATTTAAGATATTGTTATTATATTAAGATCTGCATGTAACCTCCCAATTATGGCTTATGTCTATTAACGAACCATCTATATATATATATATATATATATATATATATATATATATATATATATATATATATATATATATATATATATATATATATATATATATATATATATATATATATATATATATATATATACGCAACACCGTACATGTATATGTGTATATTTCATATAGCATATGTGTTGTATTTTAACGTAAAAACAGCTTCAAACTAAACTTACAAAAACACAAAACCTAACTTTGATTTATATACATTTGATTATTCTTATTTCCTTTTTTTTTCTAATATATAGCAACAGCATATCAGTCGATTTTCGTGAGGAATACAGACGGGCAATACCCTTATAAACTAAAATCCGGGGTACATTTCCATTTGTATATAAATACAGCACCATGTGGGGATGCACGGATATTTAGTCCTCACGAAAACGACACTGGTGTTGATAAGCATCCAAATAGGTTGGTACAACACATTTTTAAATACTACTACAAATATAACAAAAGCAAAATAATTAGATCATTGAACAAACATTTCCACTGCTACGAATCGCCTAATGAGAGCTCGCAGAGTGTGGGTCAAGTAAATAGAGCTTCACGCGTGTTGAGCGCTTTATTGGACCCTTTTCACATAACGTTGTTTGTAACGCTTTGTGCTTGTTCTCTCTTATCTGAATGCTCGCCAACACGCGAAATTGTTACGCCGTAGATAAGGGGTGAATAGATTATTGAGGAAGCTACCATCAACTACTACAGCACAGCCGACTTAACACACGAAAAGAAGTACGAACAGACGCAGGCACAAATAATTTTAGACGTTTTGTTGCTCGTATGCTCCCTTTCGTCCTTCTATTGTACACTCTCATGACTATTTGACTATTGCTGCGCTGCTCACTTTCGTGGCCAGGCACAAGGGCCATGGAGCACAAGGGCCACGGGAGCCAAGGGAACACCATCGAATACTATATCTTTTAAGAAGTAAATAAAAAGTTGAGCAAGCTCAAGTATGCTTCGGCTGTGTTTTGTGGCTATCTGCTATATGCTGTCTGTCTTAAAAAGGCATTGATTGACGCAAAATTTTCGCCACTTATAGCGTGGCTAATTGCAACAACTCATTATTTTCACAGCTTTCCAGCTTGGGTCACAGGTGAATACAAATCGTATAGCCATTGTGAAAAAGCATTTTGCAGTCGGCTCTTCCGATTGCTGCGTTTCTATTTGGTTGAGTCAATCAATGTAATCTGAGGAAAAGTATAATTGTGTATTAATATAACAACTATTGGCTGACCAACCTGAACTATGTACAGCAACAGTACATACATAAAATATAGCGACGTACCAAATTGTAGTCCGAATGTATTACTCACCGCACAATTGATACATGTGCTTAATATGGTATTTTATGCGAATTAATAGTCCGATACGAGCCTCTTAGAGACAGAGATAAAACGTACTGCGTACTAAAAGAAGAAAGAACTCGACTTAACACGAAATACAGATGGAAGGTTGCTTGCGTGTTCATAGCGTGACCTTGTGACAGTTATTTAAAAAGATGTATAATCTAGTATACGGACGCCGTAACCATCCAAAGTTTGATCGGCTTCCATCAGTTGGTATTTCCAGAAAGTTGATGTCCAGATAACCCATATAGGTACACAACGAATGACTCCAGCACTAAGCATTTTGATATATGAAGAAAAGATTGCAATATTGCCACAACGTTGTAGATCTGATCTGGTTGTTCGTCTAAAACGGGTAGATGCATATTGTATGTAATTCTCGAAAAATAAGTCAATTTATAATTACTATTTATACTACCCTTTTATCATTTCTTGACTTGCCAATAATAACATGCAACTGCTTTTGGATTTTCACATAATCGTTGTACATGTTGGTATTCTGCATTTTTTGGCGCGTGGTGTAAACCAAACCTTAATTACTACTAACGTATAGAAAAGCACGTGGACAGTTGCGTACGAAAATCGAATCGGGAGAAGGAACAATACCAGTGAAGAGCAGCGATGGCATTCAGACGTGGGACGGCGTACTTCAGGCAAGTGCTTAGCTTCAAAGGCTCAATCAAAGAGTCCTAATAACATTTTTTACTTACAGGGCCAGCGTCTGCTTACAATGTCATGCTCGGATAAAATTGCTCGCTGGAACATTGTCGGTATTCAGGGTTCACTGTTGTCTGCAATTATCGAACCGGTTTACCTGCATTCCATTGTGTTGGGAAGTTTGTTGCATCCAGAACACATGTACCGCGCTGTGTGCGGACGAATTGAAAAGTCTATACAGGGTCTACCACCCCCGTACCATTTGAACAAGCCACGTCTTGCTCTGGTTACTTCTGCAGAACCGCGAAATCAGGCTAAAGCGCCAAACTTTGGGATAAATTGGACCATTGGTGATACTGAACTGGAGGTTGTCAATTCGCTAACGGGGCGAACTATTGGCGGCCAAGTGTCTAGGATCACTAAGCAAGCTTTCTTTGACAAATATGGATTTTTAGTGAAAAACTTACCAGGCATGCCAAACCGCAAGGTCACCAAGGATTATGGGGAAACAAAGGCAGATGTGAAGGACTACCAGGTAAGCTGGTTGAGTTTATATTCCGATGAATGGGCACATCAAAATCATTTTCCATTGCAGACGGCTAAGCAAGAGCTGTTTTCTGCATTCAAGCGTGAGGATCTTGGCAGTTGGCTAAAGAAACCAATTGAACAAGATCAGTTCGGGCTTGTGGAATGACTGCATTCAGCTTTACTATTATCCGGATACAGACGTACGAGAGTACATTTTTTAAAAAAAGACAGCAACAACGGCAAGCAATTAATAGATTTAGATAATATAGCTTATAAAAAAACTTGCGTGGTAGACTGCAATTTTAGTTTTGATCAATCAAATGAAAACCAATTGAATTTGATTGAAAACCTGCCGGTGACGCGTCGGAATAACAACGACAGACATATAGTTCCAAGTATTGGAACAATGAGAGTTTTCAGTAGAATATTTTTAGAATAGAATGTAGTTTTTATGCTGGAACTAAGTAAAGAAGTATTATGGCGTTTTACTTAAAATAATTGATTTTGCATATATTAAAAATAACAATTGTAGCTATTGGAGGTAACAAATGTATCATGACAAATTTTCGAAGTTCAAAAACAAATATTCCTTGCTCCGTCTCACTTTTTTTCAGTCCCGATATTTGGTTGTGCAACACAATTATTTGCGCATGCTAATTTACATCAAACTTATACATACTAGCCTCTACAATAGATTATTATAATACATATAGCATAATGAAGCTTCTATGACACGACGTTAGTGGCATAATAATTTAAATAAGAAAGCACTTAATCGAATGTTAAAATGTAACAAATTATACAAAATCTCAAGAATAACATCCGAATGATTCAAATTAAAATGGAAATAGGTTTATGCGTTTATCAGTGTATCGCTGTTAAAAGGTCTTAGATTTGTTTACTAGTGTTTATGTAACCATGTAATGGTATGGTAGTATTTGATGGTTTGTTCTTAATGTCTCCTCTGTGAGTTGTATCAAAAAAAAAAAAAAAAAATAATATATATATATATATATATAATATATATATATATATATATATAATATATATATATATATATATATATGTATATATATATATATATATATATATATATAGACTTACTCGTCGAGTTATATAGGCATCAGTACAGTTATAATTTGCCTGTAGTTTTAAAAATTGAAAACTACGTAGAGAAAAGTCGTTCCAGGTTATAATCATATTATATTTATTGGACACGGTCTAAATTATATATATATATATATATATATATATATATATATATATATATATATATATATATATATATATATAATATATATATGTATATGTATATATATATAATTTATAATTTATAATTTATAACTTTTTGTTGTTTTTTATTCAAAACCTCTTCAACACATAAATTAACAATATATATAAAGTGTACAGGGGTCCTTCTTGCTATATAACATCGAAATATACATTGATTACCCATACTTTAAATTCGTTTCGCGAGTAAATATTAATTTAGGAAATACTGAATTACTGAAAAATAATATATATAATAAAATCACTGTACCTTTCTTAGGGTTAATAAGCAAAAACTGCCCTAATGCGATCCTGCTCGTACTATTTATATGCAAAAATCTTCCGATTTAGTGCCATTCTGTTATAACATTTCATAGATAATCAATTTACATATATTATCGCTGATTACAATTGAAACTCATGTAATTTTACTAACCAGAATATAACAGTATATAACAGTTAATTTCAACGTTTCTTATCAAAAAATGCTGGTCAGCAAATAGAGAACATTTGTTTGTTAGGTTAGTTCGAATATATAGAAACGATTTTTGAGGAGCCATCGCATGTTTTGAATTTTTAATTGTCAAGATCACTCACTTTTAGCCGCATAGTAGAAACACGGGCCTTAGTCAATTGAAACCTTAAAGACTTGAAATGAATTAAGAAACGTAATTGCAAAATTTTAACTTTGATGTAAAAGTTATTTTGAACCCATGTGGCTGAGTCAAATTTAGATTGGTATAAATTACATTCGACTTGTATTGAACGTTTTCTGCTTCCATTTATAACGTTTTGCATAACAAAGTTTAGTAATGTTAATAATAAATATGAATAAGCAGTTAAGTCGAGCGCACTCGACCACAAGATAAAACATCCACAATCTAAGTATGCCGTTGTTTGCGTATAATTGTGCCTCTAAATATACAAATAAATGTACTAATTTACAGATGTAAATGAAGATACGTAATTTTAATAATCATGCATTAAGACACCCGATACTAAACAGATTCGCAAGCTGAGTATTGACACACAGATGCAAATGGGAAATTCATGGGCTTTAACAGTGAATACTTATACTGATATCCGGCTATCCACTCTTAACCCTTAACACTTTAACGCAAAATCATAGATTTTTAAATTGTTGCTTTTTAGCACGCTTTAAGCCCCATTTTCACTGCAAAACAGAATTCAGCTGACACTAAATTATGCACTTTCACATGTGTCTCACAGGTGAATCTTTAAGAGAGTAAATTGTTATTGTTAATAAATCATGCACTTTTAAATTTTTTGGATTCAAACCACACATCCAAAGTGCTCTGTAGGACAAGTCATAAAAGGGTACAATAATCAATAATCACAATCAGTCAACAATATTCAAGAGTGTCCAACTAGAACATGCCTATTATAAGCACTCGATCTTCTCTTCAGCATACATATCAATAATTTTACAAGCAAACACAGTCACCGATGTCAGCACATTGTACGTAGGGGTTGTGCTGCTTCCTGCATCAAAGCGCAAATTTACCCATTACAATTTTGTATGCTGGTACACCTCATCTCACCAATAGTAAATACACAGCGTATAGAAAGCTTTAATAGAGACTCAATGTTTATAAATTGAAGGTCTAGGTCGAGTTCTTTTGTTTCCAGTCCTCTTCACGAACTCATATACCTTATAGAGTCATATCCTTAATCCGTTTTGAGTATCTGGCTACAAGCTTTCACTCTGTCTTTCGGGCTATCCATTAAGCTATTTCCATTTCATTTTTCTTCAAATATATTCTCTTCAGTTTTTTATTGTTACAAGATGACACTGTCTGAGACGGTTATATGCGGTTCAACTTTGGCGCAGAACATAAAGTCCAGTTATATATGGTGACCATTGAATATAATACCTTACGATTGACTTAACTTCAAATATGTCCAATGAAATTTTAGTGTGAATGTTTTTGTCTTCTTTGAATTTGTGAATATCTCATTTTCATTAGCTTGGGTTTCGCATTAGCTTGGGTTTTTTCTGAAAGAGATCTCATAAAAAATGATTTTAAAAGTTTTTGGCAACAGAGAACTCGAACATTGGAAATGATTATCGTAGTTCTTATTAACACATAAAATAAAACTATTCTCATATATCACACAAATTTCGTTTTAGTTTTGTTTTGTTTTGGAATGTGCAAATAATCAAGTTTCTTCAGTTCATCCCAGTCCTCTCGTATCTAATTTAACCTTGTATCGTCATGTAGATCCATATCCAACAATAAAACAATGCTATTAAATTATGAATAGGGACAATTAATGTTGCAGAATAATAAACATACATATAAAGCAAAATTTGACCTTATATAAAATACTGTGATACTAAATTTTACTAGTACTTCCAGCATAGCTGCATTTTATCCATTCTAAAATATTCTAAGTTAAAAGTTACGAAATGTGGAACAACTAACAATTTTGTAGAACGCCCAACAATAAACCAAATTATACAAAATTTACAATATTGGTTAAATTAGTTCTTAAGTTATGATTTTGCATACCAACATAAGACGTATTCGAACAATTAGGCCTTTCTATCGACTCATTTGGGATTTTAAATGAACATTTTAAAAATTTGTGAGCGAGACATTAGGAGAAACACAAAAACATATGTATGTATATTATACAAATGTTCAATAGACCTCTAAATACTTTTTGTTGGATTTGTATTACACTTCACACTATACCTACTAAATCCAGGAATGAAGTATGGTATTAAGGTATCAAAGGGGCGTGCAAGCCCTTGGACCTTTTCGATATATACGATATATATTTTATTACAAATGCAAATGTATTTACTCTATTATTATGTAAGTGTGCGATTTTAGTTTCGAATTCTTTTCTTGTCTGCTCATTTATAATAGTTTTTCAGGTCTATGGATTCTAGAAATGAAAGGATTCCTTTTATCCCAAAGCTCACTTCACTTTAAAGCATTGCTAAGTTTTCATTGCAAACTATTCCTTATTGTATAGCCAAAACAAGTTATATGCATAATGTAAAGTCCTACTAGATCATTAATTCCTTTAGAATTAGACCATTGAAATGCGCGTTCGCTTAAGATAGGATATATGCTTCCACTTTTGGATTCGTATTTGTATTAGAAGCCAATTAGTAAAACAGAAAGAAGTAAGTATTTGTCAGTCTGTATTTATTTTTGTACCTGCTCTGTCTTTGAATATAAAAAGGGCTCATTTTTCGAATATATGTTTTTCAACCTTCACAGAGTTAACAACTTCCTCGTTCTTAACATATATCAATCGCATTGATTAGTTTGAATATCTGCGCTTGAACTGATCAATCGGCAGACTGCACATATGAAGAGTTTTTGGTCAGCTTTCGTAATGCCAGTTGGCCTGAAGGCAGGCCGGCATTGTATGAATTAAAGCCGGCTAATGTTGAAAGCTTACTGAACAGAACCTTAGAGCCATTTCACATTAACTAATCTCATATGTATTCAAATATTCTACCCAAATTGAAGAACAATAGATAAAAAATATATTTAACAAAATACTATTATAAAACACTTATCACAATTTACACTTAATAGCTGCATGTAAAGTTATATTTTAATTGATTGAACGTTTCAAAAATCTTACTCGCTATTTTATATATAGAAATTAATAACAATAGAATATATATATATATATATATATATATATATATATGTAGAAAATATCTACACGGTTTGTTGCACATTGTTACAAGAGTTTGGCCCATGCCAATTTACATATGTATTACCGAAATGCATTGTATACCTATTATATAGGTGCTTTTTTATGATTTATGTAACCGATCAAATACGAAAAACGAACATAAAAAAAAATAATTCTTAGAGTTTCGTCTAATATCAATTTTTGTGCAGCAAATATGCAATTAACATAACAACACAAAAAAAACTTTAGAATTCCATATTAAAAAATATATTTGATTTATTTTTCTTTTTGTTTCTTTGGTGAATATAGACTCATAGCATTCCCAAGTGTTATTTGTCGGTCAAGCAAAAATATAACCCAATCTATCAAATCTGGCATACAACATATTTTAGTCGGTAGCTCTTTGAAAAGAAACTAAAATATTTTGAAGGAGTTTACAATGTAGTATGAATAACTATAACAATAGAATTCTTCTTACGTATGATTCAGTCTCTTCTTTTAATGTAATAAGCTTTGGACTGAAAACCAACCCTACATATATACGAAATACACATATTGTGAACAATAAACGGCTTGCTTTATCCACATTGTATTACGAAAAAGGATCACAAAACTTTTGGTAACATATATACGAATGATCGAAGCTTCTGGAAGGAGAAGCTCAAATAATTTAAAAAACCAGATACAAATAATGCAAATCAAATCTTGATTTTCCCGTTCGTTTGAAACCACATACATATAAGAAGGTCAAATATAATGTCTTTTAAGAGATACAAAGCCCATATATATTTAAACCAACTTAAAATGTTGCGGAATAATTATTTTTATTTGCTACAGTTAGGAAACAATATTTAAAGTATAGTAATATTATTGTAATCTTAAAAAATGTACACTGTATACAATTAAAAGCTTAATTTACTATAGAGCTAAAAAAGTTTCTTTTAAGTTCACTTTCTGATGAGCTGACTGACAACCCGAAACTACTTGTCGTGTCAACGATCAGATGATCGACATTTGGTATATAATTTAACCCACACTATATACATGGACCGGCATGCATCGATAAACCTGCTCAAAATCGATAAGTATTGATTACGCATTTCAAAGGTGTTATTTGGAGGTTTTGTTTACAATATTATTGAAAATAGTAATGCTGCACATAAAACTTGAATGAAAAGATTTACACTTTTTGTTTAGATTAGAATGTAAAAAAGAGAGCTAACTAAAAATCTGATTACTTAAAAAAATCGCCTATTTATAGAAATAGGAAATAAATAGGTACTTAAGACCTAATTTTATAGATCGTATGCAGAGGAATATCAAAAAAGCCAAGATAAACGGGTATGTCTGTATCTCTGCGTATACATATATTTGCATACACATATAGGTATCATCTATATGTACATATATCCGACAATGGAAGACAGCGGCAATACAAGCCAGAATCGGCGAGAAATTGTTTCGACTACTTAATTCATCAATTTATTAAGCTCTGAATTACTAACTTAATATTAATAAAATATAATCCCCTACAAATAATTTAAAAAGCAAAAAAAAAAAATCAAAGTGGTAAAGATTGGTAAATATTAGTGTGTCTTAGCCTTATATGTGATTTTCCACACTTCGAAGAGACAAATCGTTGAATGAAAGCGATAGAAAATCGCCAGTGGCATTGAAATATGTGTAATAATGGTCCAGCCCCAAATGCCGAAGAACTCAAGGTGCGTCTGGCGAAATACAGCGCGTCCCTTGATAAGGGTGTTGACGAACCAGATGGCGATGTTAGCGACCAATAGAAAGGTAATGATCTCACGACCGGGCTTGCGGCGCACCTGTTTGGAGCCTTTGCAGCGGCGGTGGCTGGCATGCAATATGAACATTGTCTGCAGTGAAGTTTGCACAACACCAAAGACCTCAGCGATGATGCCTTCGACTCGGTCTGGCACCGTATCCCATTTGGCGAAATAGCTGCCCAGAATGCTGAACATGCCATACAAGTAGACGCCTGTCTGGGCTACAACCAATAGGAGATTATCTAAGTCCATTGAGTGGTGCTCGTCACTTGTATCCTTGATATATCGAAGATCGCGCATAAGGATCATGCCTGCCAAGAATACAATAGTTAAAGAGATTCGGCGTTCTATTCTAATCACATCTACCTACCCGTAATTACTGCCGAGGCGCACATGAAGTACATGAAAGTCTCCCAGAGTGTAACCTCCTGTGTCGCGATCAGTTCGTAGCCAGGCTGCGTATACAGCACAAAGTACATGATCATGGATATGATAGTCATGACAATGATGAGTATGCCGAAGAAGAGTCCCTTGTGCGACTGCGAGCAGTCAACAGAGAAGTGATGAGCCGGCTTCTGCGCTACGGGTTTAATGGAGTTCTTGCGAGTCTTGTCAATGTCCGGTATGGATTTGACAGTCTTCCACATTTCAAACAAAATAACAGCGCAGATGAGAGAGTATTCAATTGTACACGGGAAAAGAAAAGGGGACAGCTGCTGGACTAAAGCACCCATGATAGTCGTACGTGAGCATCCAGAGAATGTGGCTTGCGTTGGCGTTGCTGCTGTTGTAATATTACTAACGGACGTGGTAATATTTACTAACAGCTTGTGCATCGCACCTTCAGCAGAATGGTTCTGCATTCTTAGTCCTGAGCCGTGTGGTCCGTGAAGTTGAATCGATTGATTCAGCGTCGACCAGTCAGGACCGCCATGTGTGCCATTGTGCAATATGGGATCGTGGACTGGATCGTTGTCATGGTGGGTTATATGAAATATTTCGTGCTTAGTTTCTTCGACCAGTACGTATAGCCATTCACACAGGTTTGTAGCCACCATATGCATGAGCCCGAAGCGCGAGGTTACTTTGTGGCGGGCCATGTCCATATATGTGGTATTCAGGAAGATAAACTGCACTTGAGCAATGCACAGGACCATGCGGCAGATGGGAGTAATGGCCACAAAGACATCATGACATCCAGGATGACCATTCAGTTCAAAGAACTGGCCAAACTCCAGTCCCGAATACACCATTGTGCCTATAGCGAAGGCAATAGCTCCAACCCGTAAATAGAAGCTTCCGAAATGAGTCACCTTGTGCTTAATGTGTATGTTGCTGTTCTTTTCGTCTACGATATTCGGAAGACAAAGTTAGTTTAGCCTCTTAGCTTTTATATATATATAAAGAATAAGTGAATGTTTTTACTAACACTTTGAGAAATGGTAAAGTTACTTACGAAAATCCTTCAGTGCATTGAAGAGAGACCGATTACGGAATGCACTTATGTAAACAAATATAACAAAGAGTATGCTTCCAGCATATAAGTAAACATAAAAGCCTTGGTAGACATAAGTTGGGATTTGATCCGAAATAACCTCCGTAATGGGAAGGCACACTCCTAAGAGCACTAGCAGCTTGCAATAGGTTGCAGACAGTGCCGAACTGATAGCATCACTATTAAAGATAGAATTCTGTATTTAAAATTGCTGACGAAAATATACTAATTATGTTCTTACTTGCCCGTTCTTCGGTTCTTTTCTTTTTGCTGTTTGGCTTGAAAGCTTTTGGCGCCGCTGTCGTAGTTGGCGCTGGAACCATTGCGAGCACTTGCCGAGCCACTTTGAAAGTTGATGGTTGCCGTACTCCCGGTGGCTGTTCCATTGGGATTTCTTAGGTTATAATGTAAAAAAAGAAGCTGTCAACAACTACTGATTCAATATATGTCACAAGACGTAGGATAACTTAATAATATAGAGACCGGCTGTACCCTGCATTTCTGGAGTTTCGTGAATGAAGAAAATTACTGGGATCTTTGCGTCCAATGCCAGGGGGTCGCTGAGTCAGGATCTCCTGCAGCAGTATCGAAGGCCGTCGGGATACCTGGAGTGTGTAGGCCGAGTCATCCCGGTGTATTCCAATGACTGGTAGAGGCAAAAGTGCCTGGCGTTGACTGTGGTGCTCCACGAGCTCCAGGTTCGTCTGCGATTTAGCAAGCGGCGATATTGGGTGTGACATAATCGGTATGTTATGGTAACCGCAATTATCACATGCGGTTCGGGCGTACCGTTTCACGGAGTTGGACGTAGCACAGATAGTCGAGTTATTGCTACTGGAATGTAGTTGAGCCTCCGGCGGCGGTGTCGTTGCAGGCGTTAGGCGAGAGAAGGATATCGATTTTTTTGGTTGCCTTAATGTAATATGTTCAAAGCTGTCGCTAAATACTTGGTTTCTAACGTAAAGTTGGGAGTCAGTTAAAATATGCTGCTAGGATGCCGACTTAACACACTCAAACACACACTCGCACAATCATCCTTTGCATCTACTTCATGTGTGTAACTCCCAGCTCCACTCAGTCTAAGACTTGCAAAGTAACTGACATTTCATCATTATGATCAACTGCCGACGCTAGTTTCTCTAGACTACTTCAAAATAGAAATGGTTACCGTTAAGACCTTATAGACCGGACCAGACATATATGATTTGCCTTTAATGGGTTTTTGATTGAATTTGCTATCATTTTTGCTACCGCTATCATTTCTTGATGGGCTTTCGCAAAAGCAGCCTATAGTGTTTGGAATGAAGCACCCATAATTAGCTAATAAAAGACCAGCACACGGGTGCTGAGTTCTACATAGATACGACCCCCGATAGCACATACAAAATTCCCTTCGTCTCCGTCTCAATCAAAAACAACTTGAGCACTTGTAGTTGTTGTGTTGCAAATCGACTTTTTTCAATGCAATTTGTTCCAATTTACAATTGGCGACTCGCAAGTAAGATTACTTTTCTTTTATATGTGACTTTATTTTTATTTTTTACTTGACACGTGATAAATGTTTCAATTACAAATTATATTTTGATCAATGTGCACAAGAAGGTTGGATGTCAACTTTACTATCTCTAGAAGAGAAAGATAGAGAGAGGGAGAGGAACTGCCTATTGTTGCCCAATCGACCCAATAATAAAGTAAGAGTATATCGCAACCCCATTGTAATATAGAGAGTTGACGTAGAGAAAGAGTGAGAGAGAGAGGAAATTTGGGGGTCGTCTATCGTATTATGCATTACATTAAACATGAATATTTAATTTGTTTTTGAAAGATATTTTTTATATTTTGCTCACTGTGCACGTTACAATTTCGGCTGAGAGTAGCGACGTGCTAATTTTAAGCTAATCAGATTTATCTCTTATTAACAAAGGCTAGCTAATGAAACATTAAATAGAATCTTCTGCTTAGATACAAGTTGCTCGTCTAAAACCAAACTGTTCTACATACAACTGGCTTTCGCGGGTGCTGAGGAAATTTGAGGGTCGTCTATCATGTTATGCATTACTCCAATCATAAATATTTAATTTGTTTTCTTAAGGTATTTTTACATTAATGATTACCTGAGATTTACGCTCCTATCTTTTATTGCCACTGTACATTATGCCTTTCTCGATAGCTAAAGACGATGCTGAGTACGGCTCGAAGTTTACGATTCCTAAAGATCGCTTTTTTATCGACAAATGGACTAGTGTTCATAATCAGTTTATGGCTAGTAATTCGTTGTAATCAATTTAATAATTGAATTAGGACTTTTTTATACGCTTGTATTGTGTTCATTCATGTTGAATCATTATTATTATGTTAATACTTCCAATTACTATAATTAATTAATTTTTTTATTCTATTTTTTGATATGTTGGCTAATTATCTAACAGCTATTTTTTTTTGCGCAATTCACCGTTAACCAATATTGGATTCGATTCGGTATTGAGTTCAGAATGATTGGGTATCATATAGACAACTAACCAAGCTGGAGCCTAGAGTCACACATCCCACAACAAATCCTGTCACGGCTAGGTAAAGTTAAGGCATATATTCTCGACATTCAGACTCAGCCATAACTATTTAGTTGAAACAAATTCACACACTTTTTGGCACGCGCCGCAACGTCGTCCTTGTAGTGAACGCGTTGCTTTGTTTTCCATAATAAGATCGGATCATCGTAGTAGACGTTCGTATTAATATTGTTGAGAGACATCTTGAAATCTTGGACACAACCGAAGGAGCTGCAATCAAAACAATTTCCTAGCCACCGCCGACATATGTCGACTCTCAACTGTACGGCAATATTTTGCCTGAGGTACTAAATGCTTGTGATCTATCTATGAGATGCTGTGGCTGATATTACTTTCTGTGATACACTGTTTGAACAGTTTATTAGCGATTTACTGGCTTTCTCTCTGTTGTTGCTAAAATATGCTTTGCATACACAGCTTAACACGGTTTTGAGTATCTGAGCTTATCTTTTATAGATTCCTCAATTACATTTATTTATAGGACATTTATTGGATCGGAGATGTCTTCCACACATTTTATGTCCTAATTATTATTATTAAATTTATAGTTTTAATTATTGTAAACTAATTAAAGATATTTCATATAATAATTTATGTATGTACATATAAGTACAATGTTGGTCTTAGAGCAGCAGGTGGACTAAGGTCTAAAGCTTTTATATGTTGCTTACCTCGTTTTAATATTAATGACACTGATTAATAACACATTTTTATAAAAACAAAATAATTGACAATTTCTACAATCTTTTGAGGTATTTAGATTTCGCTTCAGCCCAATTGCTCATTGAAAAACTTCAATATTTCCATAAGAACTAAGCGTGTCCACTGTACAAGGTGTTACAGCTAAGTAGCATATCAAATAAGATAAATATATTGGCTTAGATCGTAGTTTGTAATCTCACCTAAACGTGACTGAAGGCATTCGCTCGTATTTTACTCGACGGGTAGGCTCCAGCATTAAGCCACTTCCCAAATTGCTCTTAAAACCGGTTTAATAATTGGTTCCCCAACTGAATTGAAAATAAAATGCTGGCGCTTCAGTTGATGTAAGAGAACTAAAATAGCAATGTGTATTTCCAATTTGTTCTTATCATTTCGCTTTCGACTTGATAGCAGTGAGAATGTTGTGTGACTCGTCTGTGAATGCTTCTTTGTGGACTACGCCTTTGGCCTCGTAAGTATGTGTGATTTGTTTATAGTTAATGCAGAGGTATTAAATTGGGCTTCCGACGAGCACGACGTTTGTCAGTGACAAATGACTATACGCACATACATACATTTAACTACATAAGTATGAGTGCATGTCTACGCCCTTCAAAGTTATCAAAATCTAAAGGCATTTACCATCCGGCAATAAACTGTATTTGCTGAAACACGGATGCATTTCTATAGTAAAGGCATGCTGGGATCGACTCTCTTTAGAACCCGCCTCAAAATCGAGCGTATTTTCCTATTTTCTATAACTTTTAGTCCAAACTAAATCTGAACATTTCTTTTATCTAATAACATTAGTCTGGAAGTTTGTGAAATATATAGAGTTCGGGAAACGCCAGATTGTGTATATTAAATACAAATTGTAATATATTTTTATCATAATTACCTAGATATGTAGTTTATATTGTATTTTATATCTGCAAACTGATAATGTTTGCTTTTGGATTGATCGTGTAAATGCCCACTAAAAAAGCAATGCCCGACTAGAAGATACCTCGTACACCGAACTGAAACGCTTAGGACGTCGAATCGTTTGGGGCTTGCTGTAGGAAATTATGCATGAATGAAATGTTCAATAATGACATCCAAATGTGTGTGCTTTCCTTTTATTATTGGAAATACGTTTCCTTAAATTTAAGGGGTAAGGGGAAATCATATGTGTGTGTGTGAGTGTGCTTGTTTGTAAAGGATTGGGGCTTGTAAACGTCGAAAAGTACAGTTGGCATAACTTAACTAACTGTGCACTGGTCCTGAGTTGCCTAAATCAATGTCGAAGATTCGTATTCCTCCCAATTTGGTACTGGTCGCCTCTCCACACAGCATGCAGGTTTCGTCGACAACGAACTTGTTCGTTCAATCATCACAGCCCGCTGCTAACGAAACCTGAGTTCAATGTAGATTACTCTATAACACTATACGAATCCAGAGATATTGGGAAAGATGTAAGAATTCTGAAAAGAATATAAGTGCTTGCAGGATTTACTGCTTTGTATGTTAATAACGGCAGCCGACAGTTGTGATTCCTTAAGGTATATATGTATATCGTGATCAAGCAGTCTAACTGTCTGGTTATATAATTGCACTGGTGTCGGTAGCTCGAAATAATACAATGTGCTTATGGAAGGTATAAATGAAAGATCAGCTAATTTGGAGGTGAAGGGTATTTTTTAGCAGGACACTTCCAACCGAAGCACTCTTACTTAATTTGAAAACTGTGCGCGGTATCTGTGATGGCCCTGCGAAGAAGAGGTAAGCTTGGTAAAAAAAACACGCATACTTTGCTGAAGGAAGTAAGCTGTTGACGTTGTTGTTCTTGCAAGTTGTAGAATAAATTTCAAGTTGTCTGTCAACTTACGCTCAATTTCGTTGGCCACGACCGTGGTAGCTAAGATGCAGCAGTAAATTGCTACTGAAAAAGTTGTAAACTTCAAACTCAATATTCAAGATGATTGTACATTTAAAGAGGGCAGGCAGACAATTTCTTAGTCAAAGTCTTCTACTCTTCCTCCACGAGTTTGCATTTTATTTTTAAGCAATTTGCGGTTAAATTGCATTCGGCAATCGTGATTTCCACTACATATGCCTCGTGTGTGATGGCTGCAAGAAATCAAAGCTAAGGAAGTCTTAAGTTTATTATTTTCAAAAGACTCTGAAAGTCGACCAAATTTCGTCTCCATCATATTATTGCAATTATTTTTTTTCCATGTTTGTTCTTCGGTGGTTAAAGGAGTACAAAATATTATAAGTGGAAAATACGCGTTAGCCAAAATCAGCTTATACTCAAATATAAATCTCAATAATCGTCTACTATGACAATGGCTCTGTGTGTGGCTGTTGCTGTGGCTGTGGCTGTGACTGGTGCTGTGGCTATTGGGCACAGAGTCCCAACAATGTGAGGGCACAGAAAAGGGTAAAAGTCGTTCAAAATTTGTATGCACATTTGCATTTCAAGTAAAATGTCGTCTTTGTTTTTTTGTCCCTTCTTCTTCTTGCTCTTCGTATTTTTCTTCTTTTCCGTAAGATGTTACGCTTCTTTATTGTAATTTGTCGTAGTTTTCCATTCTTTGATTTTTCTCGCTTTTAAGCTTTAGTAAAACTTTGCGAATGCTGTTGGCAGGGCTCCCAAGCGATGCTGGCTTCAACCTGTCTGTTTGGCAGACATGCTCGATGTTGGTTTGTCGCTTGTCGTTTGTCGTTTGTCGTTTAAGGAATAATCAAGATGAATTTGTTAGCTGTCAATTTTACGCTTTAATGAATGCAAACAGACGTGTGCATACGCTTCCATCTACGAATGCTGAAAGTCTTGTGTCAATGCTTTACGCTTACCTTAATTGTGGTCTTCAAGCCGAGTGATGCATATCAGCTGAGAATTAAATTTTATCAACCTTTAGAGATGATACATAAATTTATATATTTGTCATTGAATTGATTTGCTCTTCGAGCGTTACTATTTGCTTTTGGCTCGAAAGATCCTCATGGGTATATACATATATTCTGTTCGCATAAAACTAAATCTAAGTTATCCGGGGCCGTATCGGGCTCAGTAATATCAAAGAGGAAAAAAATTATTAACATTTTGCTCGGTAAAAAGTGCCACCATCAAGACAGAGCTAGTAAATAATTCACTTAAAATGAAATAAAATTTAATTTGCTTTCAGTAGAAATATACACGCAGGGTAGCTCTTTAGCTCCACGTAGCTTGGCTGCATTTACTTGGTTATCATTTATAAGAGACTGTCACTGAAGGAGAAAGGACGAGAAACATGAATCACATGACCACACACGACGGAAAGGAGAAAAGCTGCAATGGCTACAATGACTACCAAGGCATATTTATTTCCAACTTGAGCGTATAGCAGTTAAATCGTAACTAACTTGGTCGAACAGAAGGAGAATCATAATACTAGTCCACGCGTAACGTTGGTCTAGCCTGATCCTTCAGGTAACTCTAAGTGGACAAGAACAACTAGTTAACTTGGTCGAAGAGAAGAAGATCATATTACCAAATTGAAATACATAGGATATACACAATCCATACACTTCAAGAGACTAGCAGAAGTAATCTGAATCAATAGTTTTATTAGAGCAAGAAAAACATAGTTGTAGTACACCCTGGGGTATTTGAACACTTTTTTTTTATATTTTTGTAGTGAAACACATGTTGGAAAATTATGTGGATGCACTTGTAAGTACGTTGTGTGAGTGACAATTGTTTACGGCTTGAGATCGCTTGCATATTTCTAGATGCAGTCGCGCGTTTATTGCTGGCAGCAACCACAGTATTCCTGGGGTTGACGAGACTCTAGACGGCAGCGAGTGCCGCGCCGAAGTCTTTAAGGATTATGCTGAAAAACGAAGCTTGTCTTATGCTGACATAAATGGTGGTTTGGCCCAGTTTGAGTTGCAGCATAGAGTGCAGATGCCAGTGCTGAGAATAACCCACAACTTTCGGGCTGTGCAAAGACCTCAGTTGCGCAAGGTTTATCTCTATGGCTGTCCGCTTTTTCCCAATTGCGTGTCGACAACTAACCAGAATAACGATTTCCAGTGTCCGGACACCAGTGATCAAATTGTACACAAGGCGCTCTTGGCGGATAACGTAAATAACATAACAAAGCTACCAGGATCCATGGACTTTTGTACTTTCAATGTGAATTCAGAGGAACTTGTTCCAAGGACTGACACCAAAAAGTTGTATGTACCATCGGACAACTGGCGCGCTAAAAGGCTGCTCGAAATCAATGAGCTGGCGTTCTTAGCTTTATTTGAGAATCATATCCCAAACGCAAGTGGCCTGAATATCGATCTCAATGTGTGCCGATGCAGTCTGTGCTCGAAAAGGAAAAGCGCGATAGAGTCAACTGTGGCAAAGGCTAAACAGCTAGTCGATGAGACTGTTCAGTCAGTGTGTTTGCTACATTCCTCTGCCTTTGCCTCTCATTCCATCAAAAGGGACCCAAATTTGTACTTTATCAGCCTTGCTCACTTGCTAATGGTCATCGCGTGCCTCCGTGGACTGCCCTAGAGCAAAGTTGAACCGGCACGAGCTTGTGCTAAATGTGTTTTCGATGGCAGCATAGCTGTAACACACTGTTTCAATTCTTAAACGGAAACAACACTAAACTAAATTTGTCTACTAAAAGATTTCGACTAGGGAAGTCTGTTGAGCATCGCCTAAATTCCTTTAATAATAAAATGAAAATATTTGTCTAATAGGATTGTTTAATTAATAATAATCTAATCAGTTTTATTTGATGGAATATGAATTTGTTCAAGCATTTAGCTCGGAATGGCTGCAACTTAACTAAAGCATCCATACTAGTTTATTTATGCAATATATACCAGGGAGTTGGAGCGAGGGAGCGTGGGGTTGTGTCAAAGTTGTTTTTTCTACTCACGCAATGTAATAGAGTTTACTGTAAGCCAATTTAAAGCTAATAGATTTAAAATGCGGCTAGTGGCAAGTCGCCATTGATTGAGTTAGCTATGCAGGGAAAAAGCCTAGCAAAAATTAAATAACATTTTTATATGGAAAAAATAAGTGACAACAAAAACTAGATTACAGTTAAAGCTTGTACACCTGACAGTTCAACTGATTCGCCATGAGAGCTGACCATCCATTTGAATATATGTTATATATCAAATGCTTAGAGAACTGTATTTATTCTTTCCCTTTATAATTCACTGAATGAAATAGAAACAACGAGCCGAATGTTTAGTTCACTTCATTTGGCTCAATGCGACAGCTGCGGAATGTGGGAGCGGATGCAGTGAAGAAACCCTTTGTTGTAAATAGTGCTCACGCTTACGTAGCTACGTCGAAGTGATTGACATATGCAACGCGGCAAGCGGAAGTAGGGAAATTCAAACTCACACTCGATACTCGAAACTCAAGCTCGAACTCGAACTCAAACTCAAATTCAAACTCGGTCCTCAACAGCCACTAGTTGAGTCAGTGAGCTATTCATAACTGCGTATGTGTGTGCGTGTGTGTGTGTGTGTGTGTGTGTGTGTGTGTGTGTGTGTGTGTGTGTGTGTGTGTGTGTGTGTGTGTGTGTGTGTGTGTGTGTGTGTGTGTGTGTGTGTGTGTGTGTGTGTGTGTGTGTGTGTGTGTGTGTGTGTGTGTGTGTGTGTGTGTGTGTGTGTGTGTGTGTGTGTGTGTGTGTGTGTGTGTGTGTGTGTGTGTGTGTGTGTGTGTGTGTGTGTGTGTGTGTGTGTGTGTGTGTGTGTGTGTGTGTTGTGTGTGTGTGTGTGTGTGTGTGTGTGTGTGTGTGTGTGTGTGGTGTGTGTGTGTGTGTGTGTGTGTGTGTGTGTGTGTGTGTGTTGTGTGTGTGTGTGTGTGTGTGTGTGTGTGTGTGTGTGTGTGTGTGTGTGTGTGTGTGTGTGTGTGTGTGTGTGTGGTCTTGTGTGTGTGTGTGTGTGTGTGTGTGTGTGTGTGTGTGTGTGTGTGTGTGTGTGTGTGTGGTGTGTGTGTGTGTGTGTGTGTGTGTGTGTGTGTGTGTGTGTGTGTGTATATGTGTGTATATGTGTGTATATGTGTGTATATGTGTGTATATGTGTGTATATGTGTGTATATGTGTGTGTGTATATGTGTGTGTGTTATGTTTCTGTGTTTATTGTATCTCGCACATTTCCGCTGTTTCTGCTTTCTGCTGTCGGCTGTTGGCTGTCGGCTGTTGGCTGTCGGCTGTCGACTGTCGACTGTCGGCTGTCTGCTCTATTCAGTACTTTTATCAGTTGTATCAATGGCCAAGTTTGCCGTAGCGTTGACAAGCGCAAATGTCTATCACACCTTTTGTTCAAGTGGCAGTTAAGTTGGCTTTTGCCAGCCCAAGCTCTCGGCTTGGTTCTGCAATCGACATATAATAACAATATAATTTGCTTATAATAATTAGCTAAAGTCAGCTAACTTTTCGCTTGTATTCCGAATGTCAAATTATTTTGACTAAATCAATTAATATGTTTAATTTTGTTATGCATTGTGATGGCTGTTGTCTTTAGGTGCACCCATAGGTGAACTCATTAGAATTTAAATACACTCCTGGTAAATTTGGTCGGCAATAGACCATGACAGCATACAAAGAAGTTGTTTGTTGGCCGGATGGCAGACAAACAGTATGTCTGCCGCATATCTGGTTGGTTGGCCAAATGCGGTTTAATTGTGCATCAATAAACATAAAGAATGGGCACACAAAAGCCAACTGAGGCAAAATTAAAACGTACGAGTTTGATGATTGTGCAACTAGGCCTCGGCTGACTGGCTTGCTGAGTGACTGACTGGCTTTTGGTCGTTGCGCTTTTACTGCACTTCGTCGGACGGGTGCAACTGATTTCCTGCTCTGTGTACATTGAAACATGCTGAAGCAGTCAAATACTCCTGAATAGTTCCCACTCTAATTACAATACGCTCGACCCAAGTAGGCGCAGTTCATAACTAGGAGTAATGAATATGCTTTGCATCCTTGTCACAAAGATAGAAAATGCCAATAGTAAAGGGTGGAACTTGATGTGCTGTTGGGAGTAATCGATCTATTGATCGAGCATCGACTTCTAGTCCAAAATTAGGGCGGTTCAGCTCTTCAGCTGTGGGCAACTTAGATCAGCCATGTCAACAAGAAGTCATTAGGAGGAGCTACTCAGTTCCTTCCAATTTGGTCACTGCAACTCTTAAAGTGTAGATTTTTCTAGTTGGACTAATCCATAATTTTTTTTAAACTAATATATTTCTAAATGTTTTTCTATCTAGTAACAAACAGACAGAGGATTAAAATGCATCCTTTATTATACCCTGCCAATAGTTAAAAAAAAAATTCTTAATCAAAAATTCGGCCAGAACATAGTTGTATTGACCACCTGTTAGTGCTCTGTAAATGAAGACTAATATGCACTTTTACAAGCCTTTTGAGACGAAGGTTGGTTAGTACTTACATTTGTTGAGGTCCAATAACCGGTCTCCTTTTATTTTCTTTTTAAGGCAACTTGGCCTCTAGTGTCGTTTTTCCATCGTTTTCTTAAATCAGTATAGAAAAAGTCAATCTCATTCTTTAGTTTTTTGGTTTTTTCATTAACACAACTTCTTTATTATCGCACCAAAACAAAAATAATAGGGTTCACTATTAAAAAAAAACATGGTTGGAACGCAGAGTTTCCTTTACGCGGACACGACATTCAAAGCGACACAAGAGCAACAGATATACAACACAGAGTGGAAGAGCCAAACCACCGCTACTAAGCGTTGGGCATGTACTTCCGCCTTGAACGTCACGAATTGAATGAGCCAACAACTGATTTTCATTTATAATGAAAACTCTTTACAGGGCAACCGTAAACCCAACACGACGGCGAGCCTAGCGGCAACGATGCTTTTCCAACCCCCAGCACGACTGGGCAGCCGAAAGAGTACGAACAAGGGCGAGTCGCGTGAGCGTGAGTGTGGTGCGGTGTGTATGCTCCGTGTTAGTCTGCATAGGCTTGTATGTGTGAGAGAGTAGGAGAAATCCCTACTTCCCGCTTCATATTCGCATTGCCTTGTTTGTGCTGCTGTGGCGGCAGCGGCAGCGGCAGCGGCAGCGACAGCGACAGCGACAGCGGCAGCGGCAATGGCAATGGTAATGGTAGAGGTAGCGCTAGTGGTAGTGGTAATGGGAACTCTATTGATGCCTCTTCCTCCAATAACACTCGTTCTTGCTCGGCTAAATCAGTGTCACGAGCCGAGCCTCGTGCCGGCGGGGAAATTGTGCAATGCTTCTGTCTACCCTACCCACTGTCTCTCTGCTGTCCACCGCGCTGGGGCATGACGATGACTATGACGTCGACGGCGCTGCGTGAGCCACAGTTACGCCGCTCACCGTTTAAACTGTTGCTGGCGCTGTCAGGGCCATTGACTGGACAGAACCAAAGCCAGCAGAGCAAGGGCAACGCAACAGTACTTCACGAAGCGTGAAAGTATGGAAATACATCTTTTTTTCGGCGTTTTTCGTGCACGGCGTGGGGGTGCGAGCGGCCGCGGAGGCAAGGAATATTGCGCAGACGACATAAATCTATGTTCCCAGTTACCTTCATGCGATGGATGCGTGTTTGTGTGCGCCTTAGTCTTACCGCCGATGAACTCCATTCAATATTGAAGTGTGATTTTAAACACATTTTAGAGGACACAAACAATGCAAATGGCAATAAGAGTGAATAGTAATGAACGTAATACATGACAGCTCAGGCCTTGCTGTAATGTGATTTACGTTTACATATTTATAGATGCGTATATCAAACCTGTCAAACATCCAACCAAATTGATGTCTGAAGTATATAACTAAGGGCAAAAACGCCAAGATAACGGCGACAACAGAAGCATTTCTGCGGACTAAGAACAAGATACATAAGCCAAGCCACTCAGTAGAGTAATTTCACTAGTATTATAGGTTTGCTGGCAGAATGCTTAGAAATGAATGGGACCGACCAACAGCAAATCCTAAATCAGGCAATCAACCTGTGTAAGCACAAGCAAGAAGAATCTTTTGAAGGTGTTTACACAAAGAGGGTGGTGTGATATTCTGGATGTGGGACGTAGGACGTAGGACGTAGTCGGATATGTTCACTTAGTGCATAGTTGGTTGTTTTTTATATTGATCCAATTTGATAATAAGTATACTTTATAACGTTTACTAATAATATTTCTCTTATGATGTACACATTCTCTGAATCTCCATTATCTTTGGTTTCCTTTAAAAATTTAATCATTTTGAACTCATTAGCAGCCATAAACTTGGCGTATATGTTTCCTGTGTATCAGCTTATGATTGAAATAGATTTCATTTCTTGATCAATATAGCAATATAAGAATCGAGTATAAGAAGAGAGTCATAATTTGTCTAAGGAGGCCAGTGATATGTAATGTGGTAAACTCTCTAATGAGTTGGAAAATTTTACGTAATTACAAAGCAAATTGAGAATAGATAATAATATTGGTGGACTCAAAAGGAGCAATGCTTGCCATTCACTAGAAATGGGGCACCACTGGTCCCACATAGGGCGCCACAGAATGAGATCCTGCTATTTCACCCGTTAAGTGCATACTCACACACATGAATTGTTTTCGGTTAAGGGTAGAGGGTCTGAACGTCCGAGTCCGTGTCCGCGCCCGCATCAGCGTCGTCTCTGGCTGCCTAACACGTTGGT